CCATATTACTCCGTACGTGGAAGCTCTCTCGGTAGGGTCTTATGTGGTCTTATGTGCCTGCTACTATTGCAGTGTCGCCGGCGGACCGTTGGCGGGCGCTGACCGCCATGTGGAGTGGGGTTCGCGGCATTCCAGTTCGAAACGATCTGACCCAGCGCTATCTACAGTTGTATGGTCTGTAGAAAAAAAAAAGCTAAACCCCACCTTTTCAACAAGAGCTCAAAAGAACGGCGACATAATACTGGGCGCATTCACAGCAAAGACTACAGGATTGAAATCGATCCGGCTTGATCGATCGCAAATGACATTGGCCATTCTCGAGTCTACTGCGACCTCTACCTCTCCTCCCATTGCTTCCACACAATGACGGCCACCGAGCAGCCGCCAGCACAGCAGGCGCCCGCCTTTCCCCTGCCGCGCATCTTGATCTACCAATCCACTGCCTCCTCCTCGTCCTCCTCCTCGTCACCACCTCCCACCCTCGTTGCTCAGGGTGCCGAGGCCCGTGTCTACCGCACGACCTACTTGGAGCCCGACCGTCCCTGCGCGCTCAAATACCGTCCGCCCAAACCATACCGGCACCCCGTTCTGGACGCCCGTCTGACCCGCCAGCGGATCCTGGCCGAGGCGCGCATTCTGCACAAGTGCCGCCACGAGGGCGTGCCCGTTCCTGCGCTGTATGCGGTGGATGTCGAAGAGGACGGCGCAGACGGGCGGACGAATGGAGGGAGCCTGTTGACGGAGTGGATCGAGGGCGGGCCGGTGCGGGCGCGGCTGAATGCGTGGTTGGCGACCAAGCCTGTGCCGTCTGCCGACACAGGCGCGGATACGAACACCGTCGTCGGCGGGGAGGAGGACCTCGCGCAGCTCCGCGCGGACCCGTCACTGCAGGCACTCCTCCAGCGAATGGGCACGGCCGTGGGCAGTCTGCACCGCGTGGGCGTCGTGCATGGTGATTTGACGACGAGCAACCTGATGCTGCGGACGGTCGATGCGAGTGCGGCGGGCGACTCCAGCGGGCCGACCGACGGCGCGACAGCACCGTCGCTGGACGGGGACGTCGTGATGATCGATTTCGGCCTGGCGAGCCAGAGCTCGTCGGATGAGGACCGGGCGGTGGACCTGTACGTGCTGGAGCGGGCGTTTGGGAGCACGCACCCGCGGGCGGAGGCGCTGTTTGAGGAGGTGATCAAGGCGTACGGCCAAGCGTTTAAGCAGTCTGGGCCGGTGCTGCGGAAACTGGAGGACGTGCGGATGCGGGGGCGGAAGCGAAGCATGCTCGGGTGATCTGGCTATCGAGCGAGCCTGGACATATAACCCTTTACACGAAGACGGACTGGACGGCGTTTGGGACACCGGACTGCTTTTGCATATATTCATACTTTTTTAATTCATGGACACATATTGTATATGCCTGTTAATGGATGGATGGCTTGTCCATTATCCAAAATATATGGTGGTAATGAAATATCAAAAAACAAAGAGTTATGCAGATTTAGAAAAGAAGAAGCAAACGCTAGAACCGCCATTAGCGACGCACGAGACGTCCATAGGGAGAGCAAAACAAGACAAGAAAGAAACGCGATCGCCATGAGAACAAAGCAAGGGAGAAACAAAAAAGCCAGAGGTAAGAGTGCCAGATCGTGCGAGGAGCCAGACGAAACAGTCAAGGCCGTTTACTCATCGTGCAGGAGCGCGCCAGCAAAGTAGCCCTTGTTCTCAATGACACCACGGTCGCGCACAACGGCCGTGTACTTGACGACCCACAGCGGCGTGAGGTCGCCGCGCAGGGCGTCCGTGGGCGCCGCAGTATTGGAGGCAGCATCGCCCTCATCAGCCAGGACGCCCGCGCCCCGGGGACCCAGCAGCTCCCGTAGCGTCCCTGGCGGCAGCACATCCGTGCAGTCTGTGTGCACCAGCAGCTCGATCCCCTTGGCCTTGGCCAGCGCTGCCAGCGGCGGCGGCACGTTGCAGCAGTTGTGGACGTTGATCTGGTCGACCGACGGCGGCACGCCCACACGGGCGACAAACCGCTCGAGCTTCGTGCTGCCAAACTCGGCCACGCCCAGCCGGCGCACTTTGCCGGCCTTGAACAGCGTCTCGGCCGAGGCGGCCCATGTGGCGACTTCGGCGTCGTCGTCGCCCTGGGTGGCGTTGATCTTGTCGGCCGTCCACTCGCAGTCGCCCTCAAAGGACATGCCGGGGAACGACAAGATCAGCAGGTTGACGCTGGCGACGCCGAGCTCGCGGAACACGAGCGCCAGGGCCTCGTCGACATACTGCGCGCGGGCGGTGACGTCGACCGAGGCCGCGCCGGGCAGGAAGAACAGCTTGACGGTGGTGTTGTACTGCGCCGCCTCTTCCTGGAGGCCGCCACTGCTGCTACCCGTGCTGCCGCCGCTCGTGATGCTGCTGCCCTCGGCGTCGGCCGTTGTTGTGAGCGTGGCGGCCGACTCGCCGGCGGGTGGGTAGTCGATGCGCGGGATGTACAGCGTCGTGTCCTCGCGCTGTGTCCAGGCGGCCAGTGGCGGGCGCCGCTGGCCGCTGCCGTGCCCATGTGTGCTGTTCACGCCGTTCACGCCGTTCACGCCATGGACGCCATGGACGCCATTGACGCCGTTGACGCCGTTGACGCCGTTGACATGGACTCCATTCGTTTTTACTGTTTCGTTTGCGTCGCCGGTTGCGCCGCCGTTTGCATGGCCATTTGCATGTCCTGCCGAGGTTGTTGCACTCAAAATCGCATGGCTGTTTATGCCATTCTTGCCGGTTGCGGCGTCCGCCAGACTACCGCTGCGGGCATTGTACGCCGCCTCCTCTCGGCTCTCCTGCTGCGCAGTCTGGAAATTGGTGCGCAGGGAACTGGTCAACTCAAGGTTGGACCGGAACGCGCCCGGCGCGCGAACTATCGATGGGCCGCCAGAGACGATGTTGCTGTATTTCAAATCATTAGCCCCACGCACCACGATAAAAGCCGAAAGAGGCAAGACGACAAAAAACCTGCACGTCCATGCAGCACGGACTTATGCGAGGCGTATGTGGTATGTGGATGGGACCGAGGCGCACTGTCTGGGGCCTGTCTCATCTGACAGACGCAACAATACGCCGAGAAGACGAGAGGCGAGAGACGACACGTCGAGGAACACAACCAGAAAACGCAAGAACGAAAAAACAACAACTCACCCCGTCGAAAGAATGAGCTTGGTCATTGTGCCGGCGCAAGAGGGCCGCGAGGGTCCTGGCCGTGATCCGTGATCGGTGCTTCGGGGAAAATCGCAGGGTTTCGTAGCGTTCGGTGGGGGTTGTGTAGAGTTTCCCGATGGCCGGGTTCGAACTGGGAAGGCGTGCAAGAGTTAAGATGACCGGCTCCTTCCGTGGGCGCGCAGGTGAGAAAATAGGAAAGAACAATTGGGGACCATCCAAAATTTTGTGGAAGGAAGGAAAGAAGCAGCGGCGAACAAGATGGAAAAAGAAGAAAAGAAAAAAACAAGAGAAAATACAGAGAACGGAAAGAGCGAGCTAGTCGTTCCGCAACGGAGTCCTGTCAAAGTCTTCGTCGTCACAGAGGAGATATGTCGGCAAATCAAATGGTTTGCCTTTGCAGAGGAAGCACACCAATGGAATGGGCGAGGGCCGACGAAAAAAGCACACTGAAAAATTATCAGGAAGCGGAAGCCACCCAAGTCTCCAGCACACTAGTGATCGGATTCGGGGACAGGAAGAGAGTCTAAAGCCGCATATGGCATGGATTCATGGCGAGAGGAGTAAAAAAAGACTGAAAGGCAAACCAGACGGGGAAAATAGCGCCCGGCGGGCACAGAGAAGCGATACACGAGTGCAAATTAGTAATGGCCGCACCGCTTGCGAGTCATGGAGCCGGCAGCAAAAACAATACTGCCCGACTGCCCCGACAAAAGTGTCCTTGTTCGGAGGAACGGGACGACACCGAACGACCAGTATTCGTGACACAGACAGTAGGGAACGAAGAATACGAATGCGAGGGCAAATGCGGAGAGGGAGAGCGAGGAATGTTGAAGGCTGCCGTCTGCGATGTCTTGCATCGTCGGTTGCCCATCGGCTTATATAGTAATTCACACTGATACAGTGGTCGGCGTTCCCTGTGCCCTTGTCTACTTTGTCACTCTTGTCCCCTGTACGATGGCCTTCGTTTCGCTCCTTCCTCCCACGCTTCACGCTCGGCCGCCCTCCTGCCTTGGATGCATCCCACGCGGACAGATTGGGGGTTGCTGGCCGCGGGCAGCTGGCCGAATCAGGAAAGTGCGGCATCAGCGGTTATTGCGTAGCCGTAGTTGCCAGTGGCTGTGATTCTGCCTCTGTGATGCTTTGGTGGGCAGTTTAAGTTTACGCTGCACAGCCCGTATAAAGCACATTCCGGGGTGCTAGACGACAACACCCTCCTCAACGACCACCAGTGACGTTGGTGTAAATGACTGTAGAGGCCATCTCCAGACTTACAAAACATATATACGACATTTGTGCAAGTTATATCGTTGACGAAAGCGATGCTCGAGGGTCGCCCCCACGAGGCTTTGGGTGCTGTCATCCGTTCTTCCTCTTTAGGCAGTTTGCCCCTCCCTTTACGTGCTGTAACCCCGCTGTGCCACCACGCTCCAGAGAACGACACCCTCGCTAGAAATTTGCAATACAGCCCTGGAAGGGAAAGCGCAAGGCGTGCCACATGCCAGCGCTGCCAGCGCCTGTCCACCCCACTTCTGCTTCCTATTGGCGGGTGCCTTGTTCGCTGACTGGTCGAGCTTCTGGAACGGCCCCGCTGCCCCGAAAGGTGCCATGCCATCTTGCATCGAAATATCTGTCCCCTGACGACACCTCCTTTACCCACACATCGCGCGACACCGCTACATCGCCATCCCGAACCCGCGCGTCGCCGTCCCGACGATTCCACAACTCCGACCGCATCCCCGAATCTGCGTCCCTCCATTTCATCCGTCCGACTACACCGGCCTTTCCCCGCCTTCTCCATGGCAATCAAGTAAGGGCTCGAATTCCCCCCTTTATTTGGTGCCTAGCTACCTGCTCGCGTGGATCGCCAACCTTGCTGACCGCCTCACCCGTGTAGCTACCTCATCCTGCTCTCACGGCAGGGCAAAGTGGTAAGCCGGCCTCCATGGACCTCTGACGTTGTCGGGCGCCTTCATCTTGCCCTCTTGCCTCTGCTAACAGCACCCAGCGCCTGGCCAAGTGGTTCACCACCCTCTCGCCCAAAGAGAAGGCCAAGATCGTCAAGGACGTCACCCAGCTCGTCCTCGCCCGTCGCACACGCATGTGCAACTTTTTGGAGTACAAGAGTGCGTTCTCCCGGCTCCCTCGAGTGGTGACGTCTCCCCCGGCGCTAACAGCAGACAGACACCAAAATCGTATACCGCCGCTACGCCTCCCTCTTCTTCATCGCCGGCTGCTCCTCCGACGACAACGAGCTGATCACTCTTGAGATCATCCATCGCTACGTCGAGCAGATGGACAAGTACTACGGCAACGTGTGCGAGCTCGACATTATTTTCTCCTTCACCAAGGCCTACTACATTCTGGACGAGCTGTTGCTCGCCGGCGAGCTGCAGGAGAGCAGCAAAAAGAACGTCTTGCGGTGTATCGGGCAGCAAGACTCACTTGAAGATATGGAGGTACGATGCATGTTCCTTTGTGTATTGTGTTTTGTTTTATGTGTTTCCCTGGTTTGCCCTCCTGCTTGCTCTCCCAACGCGCGCCACTCGCTCTGGCTCCCCTAGACCCTCGTCTCCACACCAGTTCCAGCTGACCCATACCCGTTTCAATGCTTTCAGGTCGAGGAAGAAGTCACCAAGATCATGTAGACGCATAGACACATGGTGTTCCTAGACGGAACGATTGTTGCTGCTCTTATCAGCCATTGCACAGTTCTACTGTGGCTCTCCCCCATGCTGTCTGCTTCTGATCTCTCGTTCCCTCTTCCAACCCACATGCTCTCAAACGTCTTCTTCTGCCCCCCACGCCGTGACTAACAATGGCCACTTCGGGGCCGGGCGTGTTCGCAGGAGGTTGAGGAAGTCCAAAGGGTGCTTAAGGCCACCGGATACCTATGAGCAAGCCGAGCCGTGCAGACATGCGGCACATATCGAGAAGACACTAGACGAGACAGAAGTCGAGAGAGACGGGACTAGGGAGACCGAATACGATGTCGGACGCGGACACCCTATCCCGCAACAACCGCAGAACATACCCGTCCAGGGATCGCATCGCATCGATACCATACACATTGACACAACGGCCGAGTTGGATCGACAAGAAGCAACGAGAATTGAAGAAAACATGGCGTTAAAAGGACGGCACTGCTCGTACATGAGCACGGCATATGAAGGTGCGCTGGGGTTTTTGCTTTATGGCTTTACAACATTTTTGTATCTTTTGTTTGGCTCGTTAGCGAATCTGTATTTCATTTCTTGTTCATGCGGCCCTGGAAACCGAAGCAGCAGCAGCCACGCATGTCTTAGAACCCATCCTATGACGTCGAAAGACAACACATGGGGAGTTGACAAGAAGACAAGGGCTGCTGCAAGGCTGATACAGAGTAGCAAATGTATCAATATACCAGCCCAGGACAAACGCGGCTGTTGATATGACCCAAGCAAAAGGAACGTTGAACGTCGTCAAGCGCTTCCAGTAATTGCACATTGCATCGCGTCTTGGAATCTAGCCCCTCTTGACACACGAAGCACTGTGCATCCTGATCTTCACACCAAAAACACCTCGGGCGCGTTCGGGACCAAGCCCTCTCCAAGTCACTGGCTCTACACCACCGAGACCGCGTCGTCTTGATGCCAACGCTCGTGGCTAGCTGACGCCATCCCATTCGTTATCTACAGCGGGCTGTGTGCTGTGATTGGCAGGCTACGCACTACGGGTAAAGATAGTTAGGCAGTCGTTGGTATTATGTATCTCTGTCGCGAAGGTACATGTCATAACTAAAAGTTTAAGTGGAGAATTAATGTATCATATACCTCCAGGTACTTGCTCGTTGGCTTTGTTCTCTCCATCGGTCAGGTGGTGACCATCCGCCAAGCACAGTTCGCAGGCACGACTCAGCATCCGGAAACCGCAGCCCATGCACACTGGCTGTGTCAAGGCGTCGTGTCTGATGTAATGCCTCTCCTTTGCCTAGTCCTACTCATATTCGTGATTCTACACGTTGGGGCTCTCTACGGTCCGACAAGCGTTCTTGCTTCCTTCCCCGCTTCACATCGACCGTCCCTCCAACGCCACACACCCATCGCGCCTTCCACGTTGTCGCATTCGTTCAAGTCGCTCACTTCCCCATTCGCCTCGTCGACACATTCCTTCCTTTCGCGGAGCTGGAATCCCCTCACTCCTTTTACTGCAAGTCACACATCACACATCCGCCGGTCGCCTTGTCAGAGGTACAGTATTACCTCACTCCTCTTTGCGCCAGAGACGAATTCTAGCAAACGACGCCTCCACACACCTCCACGTGAACGTGCCTCTCGTTCAAAATCCAGGCTGCCAGACCTGCGCTATCGCTCCCCACGTCGCGCCTCACAAAGCCCGCCAACGACGAGTAGCGCCTTCCCGGAACGACACGATAAACAGGGAAAGCCGGGTTCGCTTTGTGTCTCCTGTCTCTTGCCAGGGAAGCTACGAGCGTCCTATAATTCCGACTCGCTTCTTCTTTCGCAAATCGACCCGTCTCTTCGCTTTTTGTGTCTTACGCGCCTCTCACTCCTTTTTTCGTCTTTTCTTCCAACGCTCACTACGCGACATCGACGTCGTTCACGTCGCCATTGCCAGTCGCATCCCTCTGTCTCGGCTGTTCCACTCTCCACCAGTCTCTCCCTACTCGCCGCAGAGGTGGAGAGACCCTCTCTTTCGTTTCCACACAGACAGCCAGCAGCGCCAAACGCACGTCATCGGATCGCCAATCACACACGGGTGGTCTCAAGATTCACACGCAATCCAGAACCAGACTGCCCAGCAGACCAGAGATTACGAGAAACAGCGCAATTGTCCAAAGACCTGCGGCCTCACAACCGACTGCCTGCGCAGCCATCGTTTGCAACGTCTCGACGACCGGCCTTTCGCCCTCATCCCATCTCCTATAAAACCGGCCCATTTTCGCTACAGACCGACCCACGCAATACCCACCACGATGAAGGTTCGTCCTCCATTATCGGTTACCTGGCGGGCTCTGGCTCTCTTTGGCGTCAATGACGTAACTGCATCGCTGCGCCGTCCCCTGGTCCCGTTCACAACGGCTAATCCCCGCGCTCCCTCCCCGCGCACTCTCTCTCTCTAGTTCATACCGCTTCGCGATTTTGACATTGTCGCCAGCGCGCTCAACTTTGACACGCCCGACTGCCATGTCACCGGTGGCTGCGATCTCTATACCACAAAGGCCGCCGGCTCCGACAAGAAACTCTACAAAGACATTGACAAGTCCCTCGAGTCGCAACATGCCGCCCTCCTTAAACTCGGCGCTAGCCTGAGCCCACCGCACCGCGAGGAAATGGCCGCCAGCCAGATGCTGTCGCGGTCCAGTCCCTTTGGCAACCTCGCCGAGATCTCGAGCCGCCGCACGTTCGCCTACCTCATCGCCACCCTCAACGCCTCCCACCCTGACTACGACTTCTCTCATGTCCTGCGGCCGGCCGACTTCCGCCGCGAGCGCAACCTGCGAAAAGTCATGAGCCTGATTGACAGCACGCTGAGCAACGTGCGGCCCAGCTCGCTGGTGCTGGACAGCGGGCTGGGCTCGTCCATGGGCGGCGCGTCGGCGGGGTCGATGCCCTCGGCGGCCGCGGCGTCCGCGTCCCCGCTCTGGGGCCCCCAGATGTGGGCGCTCATCAACAAGGAGATGCACCTCCAGGACTGCACCGTCTTTTCGTACCAGCCGGACAACAACCCCTTTGACGAGGAGGACGGCGCCATCTGGACCATGCACTACTTCTTCTTCAGCAAAGCCCTGAAGCGCGTCGCCTACATGTACGTCCGCGGCGTGCCGCTCCTGTCGCACAGCCCCCTGCTGCTGCCGCGCCACCCCCAGCGCCGCCTATCGCACCAGCACCACCACTCTTCCATTGCCATTGCCGGCGCACGCGCACGGTGGGCCCACCGGCGCGGCAGCCGCAGCAGTCGGCTGTCGAGCAGCGCCGCCGACCAGGGACCGTCGGGCGGCGTCGGCGCGTTTTCGACGTCGGCCTCCAAACGGCCGAGCCTCTCGCTCCAGAACTCGGTTGTGTCGGCCGCGTCGGCTGCGTCGGCTGCGTCGGCGGCGTCGGGCGATGCCAGCGGCGCCAACAAGCGTGCGCGCTACTGGCTGGGCGACCAGTACGCCGACCGGCTTGTCTCGTCCCCGCCGGGCGATGTGGTCGAGGACGACGACGACGACATGGACGAGGTGCTGCTGTGGCGGCCGGACGACGACAGCGACATGGACGACTACGGCCAAAGCCGGGTCGGCGGTGATGGCGGGTTTGCGGACGACGACGACGACATTAGTATACTGGACAGCGATATGGAGGAGGACGAAGAAGAGGAGGACGAGGAGGAGGAGGAGGACGAGGACGAGGGTGAGAGCTCCAAGAAGAACCGGAGTAGTAGTAACGACAGTCAAGCGCGGAAACACTCTGGCCGGGCCATGAGCGAGGAGATTGCCGGCCGGATGGACATGGAGTGATGGAGCAGCGGCGGATGTTTTCTTTTTTGGTCCTCCTTTTCCTGTTTTCCTGTTTCCTGTCCAGCATTTGCATTATGTTTTATGGGTCGGTTGCTTGCTACATGGTTGTATTTTTTGCGGGCGTTTTATTCATCGTTTTTCGTGGTTGGGGCGGCGTATATTGTGAGAGGGTCACGACTGATTGGGTTTTGTCTTTATGTCTTTTTATTTTCCCTCGTCTAACGACATGATTTACTGTTCATGGGTCTTTCTTCTTTTGCTTCTTCAGCTTCTGTATTCTAGTACTCTTACCGCTCCGTCGTATTATTTAGGAAATATGAGACTGATGCCTTGAAAGATCCTGTTAAAAGAAAAAATGAAATGATGACATAATCACAACTGTAGTCGGTCTGGAGCTGCCTGTTTTAGCGCATTTCGCGCCTGTGACGTTAGAGGAAGCTGCCGCACTCCAACAACCAAACGAACGACAAGCGAGGGGCTTCACTGATGAGTGTTGCTTTGTTCTCATAATCTTCCATTCACAAACATGGGCATGTGACGGCCCGACTTTTCAAGAAGCGACTGCTTCAACCGATACGAATACCGAACTGACACACCCTGATTTTTCACGCCCCCGCATTTGATCGCATCGAGCTCGTGATCACCAGAAGCCGGTCGATAAAAGGGTTCGGCGTCCAGTGAGGGGAAGGACGACGCAGCAGACGACGCCACAATGTCGTCGGCCGACAAGACAACAGCCACGGCAGGCCTGGGTGGTGCAGGCCCTGCAGGCGCTTCAGGGAGCGGCACTGCTGGCGGCGTCGTCCCTGCCCAGCTCGGCTTCCTCGCCATCTACAATCCCAGCCTCGGCACCACGGACGAGACCATCGAGGACCAGATTGTCTACTACGGCAGCGCGACCGTCTCGGCGTCTACACAGACGTCCGCAGCAACGGATGCGCCAGCGGCAACAGCCCGCCGCCGCCGCAGCTCGGCATCCGCTGCCAAACCGACCGGCCACCTCGCCCCTGCCGAGCGCAACGAGCGCCTCCGCCAGATCGGTCTGGCGCAGGGCATGGTCGCCTTTGGGCGCAGCTTTGCCGGCGACCAGGCCGTCGACACCATCGAGACGGACAAGACACGCGTCGTGCTGCACGAGCTGGAACCGGGGTGGTGGCTACTGGCGTCTGTCGACCTGACGCGGCTGCCTGGTGCCGGCGACGACAAGGAGGAGTACTCGGCGCGCGAGGTCAAGCCGGCCGTGCTGCTGCTGCAAGACCTGCTGCGCGCCCACGCTGTCTTCCTGCTGCACCACGACGTGAGCCTGGACGCCCTTTTCCGGCGCGTGACGCCACGATCACGCTTCACCGTGCTGTTGGCGCGCTACTGGGACATTTTCCTGTCGTCGTGGTCCGTCCTGCTGCATGGCAACCCGGTGCGGGACGTGTTTCCCGGCATGCGGCTGGCGGCGTGTGGAGAGCTGGGCATTGGCGTGGGCGAGGAGGAGCGCGGGAGCGGCGAGCGCGAGGTGCTCGAGGGTCTGGTGGAGAGCACAGACGGGCTCGTCGATCTGGTCGTGTGCCGCTATGGCGATGCGCCCAAGGGGTCCGAGGATGCTAACGAACGGGACGTGGGGGCTATCATCGACGACCATGACGACAAAGAAACTGGCAACGACGAGGACTCGGTCTGGCTGGGCACGGGGAGCGGGCTGGGCTCTGAAGACGGCGCTATTTTCCTCGGCGTTGGCGCCCTGACTCGACCGTCCCTGCGCAGCCTGACATACTGGATGGAAGATGTGTACAGCTGGGGCCCAGATGCCTATGGGATCGCAGACAATCCGTCGGCACCATCACGCCAGGCAAGGCATCGCCAGAAAGGGGCGCCGACTATGGGGAGCATCTCTGAGCAGCACCAACAGCAAGCGAAAGAGAAGAAGGAGGTACCAACACAACAAGAACAACCACAACCAGTCATGATGCCACCACCGTCACTTTTCCCACCAGCACCCGTGACCCAAATAACGGCGCGGGGAGCAAAATCACCGACACCGACTCAGACACAACCGATCCCAGCGCCCCAGACGGGCAAAGACGCTCCATCCAAGGGCACGCCTTCGTCGAAAACACTCTCAGAAGGCGGCAACAGTGGCAGTATGGACAAGTACATGTCCATTATGAAGCTTGGATACGGCACCTACTGGAGCCTCGGCGGCAGCTCTGGTGATGCCGCATCTGACACGCCTCCTGCGAGCTCTTTGACGGCCGCAAAAGAAGACGGAGGCCGCAAGCGGACTCGCTTCCATAACACCAGCCGAGCAGGCCGCTTCCTGATTCCCCTCGTCGACGAGGTTAAGGATCCCGACGTAAAGAAGTCTGCGTCAATAGACGACAGCGTTTCGTCAGTGGCGGAGTCGGATGAAGCCGCAAAGCCAAAGGAATCGACAAGGACGACGCCCAAGCCGCCACCAAGAATAATCGTGGTCGACATGGCAGCGGCAAACAACGACACAAGCCGACCTGCCTTGTCATCACAAGAGGCTCTGCAAGAGAGGCAAGACGAGGGCAGCGAAAGCAAGGGAAAGGCGGCAGACACGCCCCACACATCCCAGGCCGGAAACAAGTTGCGTGTGGTGGTGTACGCCCAGCGGCCGTTCTTATACACGTTTCTTTTTGACCAGGGCCACGCAGAGAGTGCAGCCACCACAGACCCGCCTCGCATGAGCGAAAAGGTGATGCAGACGCTCATCGACCGCCAGCTGTCCGTCCTGCACAAGCCCCTGCTCAGGTCCACGGCCTACCGCCCCAACAAGTCCGGCATGACCGGCGCGACGGCCATGCTCAATGCCGCTGTGGCTTCCTCGCCGTCGTCGAGCTCGTCCGCCTCGGCGTCTGGCGCCATCTACGATCTGATTTGGGACCCGGGCATGCTCACGATCCACTCGACGCTGCCCAACATCCCGGACCCGCATGTCATGCTCAAACTGATGGCAGCGGAGAACGCCGCCGGCAAAAACGGCAAACATGGCAAACGCACCAAGAAGGCCAAGCACCAGCAACAACAGCTGGGACTGTCCGGTACGCCTCCGTGGTCCCGCGTCGAGGCGCTCAACACGCACATGCAGATTTTGAACCTGTACGCCGCCACACGCAGCAACGGCGCCGAGCTGGAGCGCATGTGCAAGACGAGTCGTGGCTGGTGGATCGTGTGGAACCGGCTCGTCGACCGGTCGGCCATGGGCACCAAGAACGGCGCGCCAACGCAAAGCAAGTATGGGTCCACGCTCTTTGAGGAAGCCGAGGAAGCCGAGGACGGCGAGGACGACGATGACAGCTACCAGCGAGCACCGAGCGATTGCGACAGCGACGATACCGCCACAGGGCGTGCAGCGGCAGCAGCAGCATCGGCGGCCATGGGGACCTACACGGTCCGCAAAGAGATTATCCTGATCCGTAAAGCCAGCGACCATGCCGACAACATTGGCGGTGGCAGCGGCAGTGGAGGTGCAGCCAGAGAGGGCCTGGGCGGCGGCGGCGGCGGCGGCGGCAGCGGGCTAGGCTTGGGCTTCGGGCTGGGCATGAGCAACCGTGCCTCCTCTGCGATGCGAGCCTTCAGCGCATCGACCTACCTCGGGTTTGGCGGCACCGGCAGTGGTGGAAGCGGCACCGGCGGTGGTGCTGCCGGCGGGCGATCATCGTCGACGGCTGGTGCCGACCATGGCAAGGTTGACGCTGCTGCTGCGGAAGAGGCTGCCGCCGCTGCTGATCGTGGCGCTGGATGGGCAGATGGTGCCAGTAAGCTGGCCCATGGCATCGGCGTGGACACGAAGAAATACATTGAAGGGCTGCTCACACTGAATAAGTAAGCCCAGGAAGGAGGCATGAGCATACATATAGACAGCGCCTTCCATTCTCGGACAGGGTGCTCGCCCCCTGTTTATTGATACCAACAAACGAAGAAAGGAAAGAATATAGTAGCTCTTTCCTTGTAGATGAATATTGACGATGCCAACGGCACACTACTACGCTGCGGCAGGGTTGACTGCTCACCGGCCATTTCTAAGGAACAGCTGACTCTTCCTTCTGCTTATTGTACTGTGTGCCTCTGTTTATCTCCCCATCTCGCAATATCATCACTACGTATCATCCACTCTCCATACCAGGCGACTCCTCAACTGTACCGTCTGCGTCTTTCTTTTCTGTATTTATTGACTTGTTCGAATGCCAATCACTTTCAGTCTTCTTTCCATCGCCTTTTTTGGCGTCCCAACCACCAACAAGATGAGTAAAGTCGATACACGACCCATCCAGCTCGCCGCGAGCCCGTCCGCCCAGTCCCTTCGAGACGTTACCACCGCCGCGTCTGCTGCCTCCGCCACCTCTTCCAGCACCCTCGACACCGCCCACTCTCCTCCCTCCACCTGCTTCGTCTGCCTGGAACCCTGCGTCGCCGGCAGTGCCGCCAGCCTCCGCACCCGCCAGGACGTCCAAGCCCTCGTCTGCCGCCTCACCGTCAACGGCGTCCGCGTCCCGCACGGTGCGCCCTTTACGTCCGTCGTGCGCGGCGACTACTATGCACGCCCCTCGGCCTTCGACTGCCACGCCTGCGGCGCGAGCGTCTGCTGCCTGTGCCTGTGCCGGTGCCTGCGGGCCGGCATCCAGTACGTCGCGCGGCACCCGCTGACGTGCGCGTGCGGCGACGTGCCGCTCATCAACGCGTCCACCGTCCTGTTTCTGTCGGCCGAGCAGACGCACCAGCTGTACCTGCGGTGCGACGAGTGGTTCTGTGCCGATCCGCTATACTGTCCGGAGCCGACGTGTTCGGCGTACCTGCCGATGTTGCCGTGCTTGCATGGGGGTCGTGAACACGACAAGGGCGACAAGGGTGACAGAAAGACGCACGGCAAGGCCGAGGGGCACGGCCGCCAAACGGCCCGCACAGGCCGCACAGACCGCACACGCTGTGTGCGGTGCGACGTGCCCGTCTGCACGCAGTGCAAAGGACGCGCCGACGATGCAGCCCACCGAGCCGACGACCGCGTGGGCGCCGGCAACGAAAACGAAATCGGAATCGAAAACGTAAACATGGGCGGCCCACCGGTGCCGTGCACGCGGCCCAACGTCCACTGGGACAAGGAGGTCGAGCGTGTCATCCAAGAGAAAGGCTATCGAAAGTGGTACGTCCGTCCCTAGGTCCTCGGTCCAAGCTCCCAGGAGTATTGTCGGAGGAGCAAACACACCCGTCCTAACGCGAGCAGCCCCCAGTGCAGTGCTATGGTCGACTGCGCGGGCAGCGGGTGCCGGCAGGCGCAGTGCTTCTGTGGCATGGTCTTTTGCTACTCATGCACGAACCCATTGGAGGACTGTGTGTGCCACCCCATGGCGGTGACTCTTCGCTCGCGTACAGTATCTTGAGAGTTGGGTGGAGGGCAGGGTGTGGAGAAATTAAAGTCGCACTCAGTGAGCGAGAGTATGAAACCCAATGGAATACGGAGCACGGCATACTGATATCACTACGGCGATCACAGCGTGAAAGTGAAAGGCATGGAGGGACAAAGGTGAAATCATCATTCAATAGAACCCTGGTCTACACCCTTGCATGGTTGACACAATATAGTAATGTAGTAAATTGATAAAATGAAAAATGGCAAAAGTGGCTGCAGTCGATCCATAGTATGCCTGACCGAGGCTCGCTTTCAGAACAAAAAATAAAACTTGTACGCCATATACGCCTTTTGGGGCAAAATGAAAAAGAATGTCCCCGTATTCCGATCCGATGAGGTTTACTTTTGTTGACCCATTTGAGCGTCATTTGACGCCTCACCGGTCTCTCGCTTCACCCGAGTTTCCACCGCGTTGCTTTCTAGCGTATTCTTTCCCTAGAACGTCCCGAAATATGAAATGGTGGACAAGTGAACAGGTGGACAGGGTGAACCGGTCCGTCTTTGGAGACAACATGCGAGTTCGGCTCCAAACAAAGAGAAAAACAAAAACTGTATTATGATGCGGTAACACGACGACAAATAGGGTATTAGATCAACGAAAATGAAATAAAAAAATAAAAAATAAAACCAGCAGTGCTTTCATCAACCATGTATGCAGAACAGAGGCCGTACATAGAGACATTTGGCTCAAGCCTTCTCTATTGGCGGCTTCCCGAGGCTGCGGTCAAACTCGAGAGGCGTCTCGGGCGGCGTGGCAATCGTCGTGCTCACGCCGTTTGCCACGGTCGGCGCAGCGTTGGAGAGGTCGGGGGGTTGGGGTTGGGGTTGGTGTGCGGGAAGGTCAGCCTTTTCATTCAACGTCTCGCCCTCCTTGTCGAGATGCGCTGGATTGGACGCCTTTTGGGGTGCGTTGTTGGGAACGTCGACGGCGTGCGTCGTCTGGTTAGTCTGGGCCGTCTGGGCCATCTGGGTCGGCGTGGTGCGCCGCGTCGAGGACGTCGGCTCGGGCTCTTCGGGGATGGTGGCAAACTTTTGCAGGACCTGCTTGAGGGCGGGCCGCCGGATGGGCTTGCTCAAAAACTCGTCCATGCCGGACTCCATGCACTCCTTGACGTTGCTCTCTTCAGAGAAGGCGGTGAGGGCGACAATGGGCGCCGAGTAGCCCATTTTGCGGATCAGGCGCGTGGACTGCAGGCCGTCGAGGTTGGGCATCTGAACGTCCATGAAAATCACATCGAAGCGCTGGTTCTTTTCCATGTTGGCCTTGACCAAATCATAGGCTTCCTGGCCGTCCTTGGCAATGGTGACGTCGTAAATGTCCTCGAGCTTCAGCATGCGGCTGACGACTTCAATGTTGGTGGAGTTGTCGTCGGCCACCAGGACGCGGACCCGCGCCTCGCTGTCTGCCTTGTTGGCCACGGCCCGGTCCAGTGCGGCCAGCTGGTCGGCTTTGCTTTGCTCGGTGGCGGCGGAAGTATGAGGTGGGTTGGCGACGAAGAACGGTTGGCTCAAACCAACCAAACGTGCCTGCTTGTCGAGAACGGGCGGCTGTTTTGCCTTGGCGCTGGGGTCGACGGCCTGCTTCGGGAACGAATTGCGACGGTTGTCGCCGCCGTCGGCCGAGCTGACACTCGGTGGCCGGGACTTTAAGCTACTTGATGCTGTGCTTGACGCTCTGCATACTGTGGTTAGTGGTCACTCCAATGACACATAACGTAAACAAGACCAAAAGGGAACGTACCTGTCCTTGACGTATTTGAGCGGAATCCGCATGGTAAAGATGGTCCCGACGCCAGGCGTGCTCTTGAGCGTCACGGTGCCGCCCATCAGCGTAGCCAGCTGCTGGCAGATGCTCAGACCGAGACCGGTGCCTCCAAACTTCTTGCTCAGGCCCAGGTCGCCCTGCACAAACGGCTCAAAGACTTTTTCTTGCATGTGCTGGGGAATGCCCGGACCGGTGTCTTGGACCTCAAACTCGAAAATAAACGTCTTGGAGCCCGGCGGCGGGGGCGTGGGTGAGCGTTCGCGAATGCGGTACTGTCCGGTCGTGGTCGACTTGGGATCGAGCGGGTTGATGGCAATGGCGGTGCCAGATGGTGTGCCTTTGTAGAGGGTCGTGCCGGTGGTCGTCGAGATGGAGCCGCTGCCGCCGTTGGCACCATTCTTGGAGCTTTGTGAGTGTGTCGAGGACGAGCCGATACGGTGGCGTGAGCGGCCGCCTCGGTGGGATCCCGACTTGGAGAAGGACGAGGAGCGGCTTTCCTCGAAATGCTCGGCCTCGCCGACACAACGAATGCGCAGGTCGACGGCGCCCGAGGCGGGCGTGAACTTGATGCTGTTGCTGACAAGGTTGATAATAACCTGCAGGATGCGCTGCTGGTCGCCCCAGAGGCACATGTCTTTTAAGCGCCCAACGCCGGCCGGGCCCAGAGCGGGCAAGCGGCGGTCGAAGCTGGTCCGCTCGGAGGCAGCTGCGCTGGGGAGGTTGGTGAGGCCGTTGTCGGCGACAACGGCGGCGCCCAAGTCTGCTGCTTCTGCTGCTGTTGCTGCTGCTGCTGTTCCGGCAGGAGGGAGAGGGAGCGTGCCTTGCTGATGCTCCAATGGGTCGGTGGAGCCAATGAAGCTGACATTAAAGGTGATCCGGCCCTCGCGCACTTGCTTGTCAAAGATGGACAAAACTTGCGAGCGAATGTCGCCGAGGCGGAACTCGCGCTCCTCGAGGCTGACCTGGTGGCCGATCTGGTTCTTGGAGAAACTCAACAGGTCCTCGAGCAAATGAAGCAGCAGGTCACCCGACTTGTAGAGGGTCTTGAGCGACTGCTTGATGCGGACAATGTCGTCCTCCTCCATGCACACGGCGCACATGCCCATGATGCCGTTCAAGGGCGTCTTGAGCTCGTGTGAAATGTTGGCAATAAAAAGAGTCTTACTCTCGTTGGCAGCCTCGGCGGCCTTTTTGCTAATCTCCAGCTCGCGTGTCCGCAACGCCACCTTTTCGTCCAGCGATTCGTACTGCTTGTACAGCTCGTCGGTCATGGCGTTGAACGTGGTGGTCAGCTCGGTGAGTTCGTCCGTGATGATGTGTTTTCGCTCGGGGACGTGGCCGGGGATCTTGAAGACGGCATGGCCACTGCCACCTTCTCTGCTGTCCGAAGGATGCGGCCTTTTGACGCGATGCATGCCCAGCATGGTACGCAGACGCACAAACCAGGCGTGGTCGGAGATGCGCGAGCGAGACGACCGCGTGCCGGAGCTGGGCAGCTCGTCGTCGTCGGCGTAGCCGGGCGGCGCAATGGACTTTTCGGTGGCATCCTTGAGCTCGCGAATCGGCTTGACGCTCAAGTGGGCGCACGGGAAGACGACCAGTATGACAAACCCGGCGGTGCCAAACACGGTGCCGAGGAGGATCTTGCGCAGGGTGACGACGGGCGCATAGGCTTCCGAGTGCGCCTGCTCCACCAGCACGGCCCACGTCACCAGCGTCGACTGCGGTCGCGCGTATCCCACGGCGACGTCGTAGCCCTGCTCGTTGGTGGTCGACAAGGTGGCTGTGGCGTTGTTGACGGTGTTTGTCTGCTCGGCGAAGGCGTCGAGCACCGATGGGTATTTGCTCATTTTGAAGGTGTCTGTATAGCTGCCGGACTTGAAGTCGTAGTTGTTGTGCCGATCGGCGCCGGATGCGGAGGCGAGGGGCGGCAGGATAAAGTGGACTTCGTTCTCGCCAAAATCGTCGCGGTCTTCGGGGACGTACGTGTTGTTGCTCGCCGGGTCGGTGAGGTTGAAGCGGTTCCACGGGGTGTTGGGGCCAACAATGAGGACGACGCCCGATTGGCCCAACCCTTCTGGTGTTGTCTGTGTATCGATGAGACTTGTGGCCGACGCGACGACGGTCATGTAGCCGAGAAGGAACGTATTGCTGTTCTGCCGTATTGGTACAGTGAGCGAGATGAGCGCAAAGGACGAGTTGATGATGAGAGGCCCGAGGAGCAGCCCGCCATTGTTTGTGAGCTTGACGTCGGGGAACGCCGTGGCGGTGAAGGCGTTGGTGGTGTTGTCAATGCTGCTGGGCATGCCGGTGTCGTTGTAGGTGATGTTGGGGTAGAGCGTTGGCGGGTAGCCGAGGTCTGGGTCGCCGAGATAGACGCGCGAACCATTGCCGTTCTCGTAGGGCAGTTGGATGGAGCCGATGCCGTTGCCGGTGACATTGAGGAGCCCCGTGGCGCGGCCGCTCGTGTTGCGCGAGTAGAGCCGGGACTGAAAGAGCGTGGTGAAGCCACCAGCGCCGAAGGCGCTCTGCATATCCTGCTGGGCGAGGTCCCAGTTGCTTTCCGAGTGGTTGCCGGCGTAGAAGCTGCTGAAGGCGCCTTGGATCAAGATGCGCGAGGCGACATTCTCGCAGGTGGTCTGGAGCAGGTCGATTTCCGAGGAAATGCGCGCAGCCTTGAGCGAGGCCGTCAGAGCGAGGCCGGTAGACTCAACGTCTCCAACAAAGTGGTTCACAAAGATCCAGGTCGGGATGGAGACGATGGCCAGCGCAACCATCACCGCGATGATGACGAGCGCAGCAAGCTGCTCGCGGATGGCGACCCTCATGGTGCCGGTCTATATCGCGCAATTCGACGGCAGGGTTCGTTTTGCGTGCATGATATGGAGGGAAAGGGGGGCGCGCCCGTCGGAAAAGGGACTCGAATCCAGAGCGGAGGAAGAAAAGATTGTACTCTACCGTCGAGGCATCGGAGGGAAGAGGTG